GATTTAGCAGTGGCTAAGGACTCAAGTGTGATGAAAGATAAGGAAATTAGCATCCTAAACTTGCTCCACTTTTCATTTTCTGCCGGCTATAGCGTTACTTTCACATTGTCATGGTTTATAGCACTGATTTCTGTTCTAAAATTCTATTTGGAACTTTAGCAATTTGTATATGCCAATTGTAAAAATCAAAATACCAATACATTTGCTTACAAAATTATGCTTATGTGATCAATCCTTGTAGAATCAACTTATGTGACTGACCCCTTAGAGGAAGAAAATGCAATTCTATACCACTAAATTTGTTGAAACTGTCCAACAGATTCTCTTTTCTTTTACTCTTAATTGCTCAAAATTTTACCAAACATTGTACTGGTTCATAGTTGGACCATAATTTTCCTGTACAAATTTTTTTCTTCCAGTATTCTTTTTTTTTTTTTGGCGGTATGCAGGCCTCTCACTGCTGCAGCCCCTCCCGTTGCGGAGCACAGGCTCCAGACGCACAGGCCCAGCGGCCATGGCTCACGGGCCCAGCCGCTCCACGGCATGTGGGATCCTCCCGGACCGGGACACGAACCCATGTCCCCTGCATCGGCAGGCGGACTCTCAACCACTGAGCCACCAGGGAAGCCCCCCTTCCAGTATTCTTGTTTTTTTTTTAATTGATGAAGGTGGCATGAATCTTCACCTAAACATTAATCATCCAGGTTCTTAACCATGTCATTTCTTAAAATAATCTTCTCAGCATCTTTTGATTTTCTACTTTAGCTTTTTTTTTTTTTTTTCCTGCAGTACGTGGGCCTCTCACTGTTGTGGCCTCTCCTGTTGCGGAGCACAGGCTCCGGACCGCAGGCTCCGGACGCGCAGGCTCAGCGGCCATGGCTCACGGGCCCAGCCACTCCGCGGCATGTGGGATCTTCCCGGACCGGGGCACGAACCTGCGTCCCCTGCATTGGCAGGCAGACTCTCAACCACTGCGCCACCAGGGAAGCCCTGATTTTCTACTTTAAATTAGACTACTTGCTTTCTAGTCTTGCTTTGTAGTTGTCATTCTAAGATTGTTTTCTCCCCCTCTTGGGCTGGGTCCACAATCACTAGGTGTTATCTCATGCTTCTTGAATTTTTTGTTTTCCATTTTCTGGAGCACAACCTCAAGAAATTCACCAGGAGTCTGCAAGAGATCAAATTCCTACATCCTGACTGTATGTTTTAATATATCTCCATCTCATGCATAATTATAAATTATGATTTATAATTTGGCCAAGAATGCTAGGTTAAAAATTCATCCAATCCCCACTTGACTCTAATTTTTTTTGGGGGGGGGGTGCTTAGTCGGGTCTTAGTTGCATCACACAGGATCTTTCATTGCAGTGCGCAGGCTCTTCGCTGCGGCACGTGGGCTTCTCTCTAGTTGTGGTGCATGACCTCCAGAGCGAGTGGGCTCTGTAGTTGTGGCGCGCGGGCTTCCAGTTGCCCCAAGGCATACAGGATCCTCCCCGACGAGGGATTGAACCTGCATCCCCTGCATTGGAAGGCGAATTCTCAACCACTGGACCACTAGGGAAGTCCCTAGACTCTGATTTTAGAAACAATGATGCAAATGTCCAGTGTTACTTTGATATCAAACTGATTCTAAATCCTTCCTAGGAAAAGTGCCTTCTCTTTAAGAGTTCAGGGTATCTTCTTCACCCTCAGTGCTCTGAAACGTCAGAAGAATGTGTCTAGATAGAGTCACCTTAAAATTATTTCTGCCTGGTATTCAGTGGGCCCTTTAAATCAGAAGTGTCATGTCCTTCAGCTGCGAGACATTTTCTACCATCATTTCTTTTTTTTTGGGGGGGGGGGGCCATGCTGCACAGCATGCAGGATCTTAGTTGCCTGACCAGGGATCAAACCCTTGCCCCCCACAGTGGAAGCACAGAGTCTTAACCACTGGACCGCCAGGAAAGTGCCTCCACCATCATTTCTTTGAGTAATTTCTCTCTTCCATTTCTCTCCTCACTTTCTCCAACTCCTTTAAATCACAGCAATTTTTTTTCTCGTTTTCCTCCTATCTTTTTGCAAAACATACTGATAAATTTCTTCAACTTCTTCCAGTTTTTGTATTTCTTTTTGTTTGTTTGTTTTCGGTCTCAGCAACATTTTTATCTCCAAGAACTCTTCGCTACTTCTACTCCTTTTACAGAGCAATCATAACACAAACATCTTCCCTCCTTTCCTCACTGTCCCCTAACAGTACAAGAAAATTAATGGCTCCTAGAGCATAGTAGACCATGTCTTTCAGTAAGGACTATACCAGTGAGAAAACCCAAATATACTATGATAATTGGCTGCCTTCTGGAGTTTAACTGATTAAGACACAGGGTAAAGACTCTACAAAGAAAGCAAAGTAATAAACCTAACAGATACACAGTATTCCTACTGCTGTGGCTTTTGTAACTTATTTCTGTTGCTTTGAAATGGAAAAGTGTTGCTGTAAGTGCAGGATGGGAATAAACTCAATAAGGAGATATGTATAAAACTAAATTAATAATTTTGTATTATATTTCATTTTAAACCTTTTAACTCATATTTACAGAAAGATCATTTAGGTATATGAAGGTAGTACCTTATTTAAACACTGAAATACCAATTAAAACAGCCTGGCGCTGGTCACAAAATGGACAGCAGAAACCAAAAACAGACCCAAACAATGGTATATTTTAATTTCCTGTATCATAGGTGACATTTTAAACCGGTAGGGAA